CATAAGCTTGTTAATCTTCGAATGATAAGGCACGAGTTGTTGGCGCCTTTCCCTATAGTTGTTGTTGCCTCATTAACTTGGTTTTTGAGACTGTCATATCGTGTGTATTGATTCATGTCTTTAAATCGATTGTGAGTCGAGAAAACATCTGAGTGTGAGGTGTTGTAGTATTTGGTTGTTTAAAATCCTTGCGGTAGTAGACCCTTTGATGAAGGAATAGGCCAGTTCTTTTGATTTACAAAAAATAAAATAAAAAATGAACCAATAGCCTTTCTTATTTACCTTGAGAGTCATTGTCTTCATCGTCTTAGTTTCTTTTGCCTCATATTATACAAAATAGTCGAGTGGACTTGTGAGTAGAATATCAGATCAATTATTTTCTGTGGTAAGACTAGTAGTATAAATCACGTGCAAGTCATGGCTCGAAACTTGTCTGTTATGCTAAAATGATCCTTTATCACTGTTTCTTCATCAGAATACATTATGCATTTACCATGGCATTTAATGTCTTTGGGATTTGAAACCTTTCCAAGTTAAAATTTATTTATCCTACATTTTATTCAATGTATCGTGGCAGTGCTTTCTTGGGTTATTTTCCCTGCACATTTGATATGAATCTAGTTTTGTTTCGTTATCGTTAATTGTATAGAGAGAGAATTGCACCCCTCTCTCCTTTCTCTTTTAATATACTAATCTTTATTTCCTTTTTTTGTGTTGCATGTGAAATCTACCTCGAGTCTATATTGGACTCTCAACTCCTATCCTTGCATCTCTTCGTTGGGCCAAAGGCTCAATTTTACCCTTATCGTGTCAGCCAACCTTGAGAAATCGAAGAACAAGTCTTTAGAATCGATATACAGGTCCCGGAAAGCAGAAAAATGAATTGTATACATTCGATATACACTGATATATATCAGGGGTATACAAAAACGGGAATTGAGCCAAGAGCCCAAATCAGCAACGAGTTTGGCCCTAAAAAGGGCCCAAATTCATCTTCTCTTTTATTCTCCTAGATTATTTAATTGTGATTACTTATTGTTAGTTTTTTTAATTAACTCTAACTTTAAATAACTTAATTAAGGATGAACTATTTTCTTTGTGTTGGTTTACTTTAATAAATTTTATTTTATCAACTCTTGCACCCTTATTTACTTATTCAAATGTTTTTCTTTTCAAAACTTTCACTTACTTTTAACTAGTTTAAAATGATTTCTTGGTTTATCAACTAAATTGGTGTAAATTATTTTTAAAATGATTCAAACAAATGCTAATTAATCTACTTTTGTTAAAATTCTAATCACTTGCAATTTAATTCAAATATTTCATTTTAGGTCTTTTTTTAAAAAAAAAAAATGAAAAAATGATTCTTTATTTAACTATTTTCTCAAAGTTCGAATATTGTAAAATACATTTTGTATTAAACCATTTTTTTTCAAAGAATTAGTCAAAAATTATTTTAGTCTAGTCGTAGGATAACCGCATGGTAGCGGCTACTTTAAGTGCTAATACCAGCTTAGAGTAGAAATAAGAACCTCTTACCCATTTTCTCTAAATTTTTAAAGGTTTATATGTTAAGGCCTTTTTAAATTAAATTTTGTTAATTTCTTTAAAAAATTAAGTGGCGACTATTTTCTAAGTATTTTTCTCAAATTGTTTTATACTTAGAACATTTCAAAAAAGTGATTTTTCTAAAGATAGTAAAATTACGGCGTACAACCATATCTCTTAGAATATAAAGAGTTACATGGCTCGTAAGCTATCAAATTAAAGGTATTTGAATCTACTTTCCAATGCCACCAATTTCACGTCAATTCAATTTCTAAGTAAAAAGTTATGACTATTTTAGTAACCTGATACAGTGCTATTACGTATTAACCGATGGGAAACATCAAAAAGCATTGTTTTTGTCTTTTTACCTCCAAGAAAACCCTAAACGAATTTCTTGACTAATAAAAGGCTCAAAACAATCAAATTTTCATCTTTTAATCCATCATTCTCTTCTCTCTCAAACCCTAAGGCAAAATCCTAAGGAAAAATCAAAGTAGAAGACTCCATTCAAGATTCTTTCAATCTTTTTCAAGATTCTTCTTCAAGGTAAGTCTTTTTCCAAGAATTCCATTCTTTTCAACTCAAATTCCTCCGTACAATTATGAATCACTAATGAAAATCATAATTCTTGGCCATAGATATTTCAAGAAACTAATTCAAAAATCTCAAGAAAGATTTTCTTGATCGTTTACCTTCAAGTTAGGGTTTCAAGGATTCTACTCAAGTTCTTCTTCAAGATTCTTCAAGATCCTTGTTCTTTCAGGTATGTAAGGCTATCATAGAGTTGGACTAGTTCGTCCTCACCCCCTACATCTACTTTCAAATAAGTAAAAGAGAAATCTAGGATTTTACCCCTAAATTTGAGTATTCTTGAGATAAGTTGATTTGAGTTCTTGAGTTTATGGTTTTTTTAAAAATTCTATTCCTAATTATTGAGTTTCTATATTTTTATTGAGATCTTTGAGTTGATTTGTTCATGTCTATAATTCAGCATGAACCCTATTTTGAGTTATAAATCTTGAGAAAATTTTCAAAGCCAACACTTGAGTTTTAAACTGAGTTTTGAGGAAGTAAGTATGAGAATGAGAAGAGTCATATACATGAGCTCCATATGTTCTTTAGACCCTTGAGTCGATTCATTCATGCTCATAAATTCTGCATGAACGCCATACATTGAGTATCTTCGAAAGGGGTAGCATCTTCGAGTTCTAAGTCTTTGAGCATTGAGTTCCTAACCCTTTTGAGATTATATTCCTACTTATGGGACTACTACATGTTACCCATGAAGCCTTTGAGTTGAGTTGTTCATGCTCATAATTCTGTATGAACCCTATGAGTTGAGCAGTCTAGAGATGAGTAGTGTCATTGAGTCTTGATTTCTGAGTACCGAGGTTCTTTATTGTTATTAAGATCCCGGAGTTGAGTCGTTCATGTTTATAATTCCACATGAACCCTATGATTTGAGTTATAAATTTTAAAAAGTTTTTTAAAACCAACACTTAGGTTCTTAAACTGAGGTTTGAGAAAGTAAAGATGAGTTTTGAGAAAAGAGTTTTCTAAACACGATTAGTATGACAATCGAGTATGCCATCAATGTATGAGCAGTATGGTATCTAGATATACCATCAATGTTTATGCAGTATGACTTCTCAAGTCATCAATGATCATATTATAATATGATTTTGAAATGTTTTTGAGAAAGAACAGTGTTGAGTTCATTTTCTTTAAAATGATATATGGGAACTAAATACTCCCACGAGTAAATGTTTTTACATTTAAGATGAGAGGAAACTGAGATTTCCAAAAGAGTTTTGAGCAGTTTGAATACCATCTCTTTTGAGAGATATTTTTGAGTAATAATCTCAAACCACATAAAGGGTTATATTTTTAAAAACATATGACCTAGTATATCTTGGGAGTATTATTGAGCACCGATATGGGTGAGAGTTCAGATAACTCACAGCCTCCATAAACCATGTAGCCAACATGGATAGAAAGGGTCATACTTTTTAGATGATTCTTTTGTGCTTTTTAGCATAGACTAGTGGATTCACTAAGTGAGTAGGTTCTATACCCCGACAAAGTATAGGTAGGCCCTGGCAGCGTGAGGCAAGACGTTGTATCATCACATAACTCATAGTGATGGTTGTCGATTAGAGAAACTCCCACAGAGATATTTTTTAATCTTTTATACATAGAGTTGTATTGTATTTTTATATCCAAACTAAGTTATTATTGTATTCTTCAATACATTGAGTTGATGTCTACTGTTTTAAAAGCTTTCTATATATTGCATCTTTTATTGTTGCTTTATATTGAGTTGAGTATCCAGAGTTGAGTATATAGAGTTGAGTATCTTATTATTGAGTTGAGCCTTATTTCACTAAGTTGAATATCTTATCATTGAGTAGAGCCCTATTTTCTCTGAGTTGAATTGAACTATGTTTTCTTAAGTTGAATTGAGTTGAGTGAGTTGAGAAGAGGTAAGTATGTTTCTATTCCATCGGTTCAAGCATATGTTTATGCTTTAGAATTCCCCTTACATGCTTGTACATTCCATGTACGGAGCCATTTGTTCTGCATCATTTCATGATGCAGATAAATGTACTTAGGATCATCAACAGATGCTTCGTTGATACCGTATGCTGTTTGAGTTAGGTATAGTGAGCCTCCTTTCTTTCGGAGGGTTCCACTTGTACTTTCAGTTATATCAATTGTTTGGATGTCGTGGGTCTTGTCCCAACTTCCATCTTTGTCAATTAAAGGCTTCATAGATCAACAATAGAGTTTCAGAAGTCTGTTCATTTATTTTGTTAAATGTTTTAAAGACTTAAGTTGCCTATTTTATGGTGAGTTGAATATTTTATTTTTATTCAGTTTTAAGCTTTGTATGCTTGAGTTAGTCTTCCGCTTGTAGTCAGTCAGGATGATGGTTCGCTTGGGGATCAACAATGATTCTTGAGTGCCGGTCACGTCCAGGGTGTAGGCTCGATCGTGACAGTTGCAATCTTCATCATATTAGATAGAGGCACACAATTTACTTCTAACTTTTGGAGGACGTTGCAGGCTGAATTAGGTACTAGATTGGATCTTAGTACTGCATTTCACCCTCAAACCGATGGTCAGTCTGAGTGAACAATTCAAGCGTTGGAGGATATGCTTCGTGCGTGCGTGATAGATTTTGGTGGTCAGTGGGATCAGTTTTTACCCTTGGCATAGTTCTCGTACAACAATAGCTATCACTCGTGTGTTGATATGGCCCCATTTGAAGCATTGTATAGGAGGAGATGTAGGTCTCCCATTGGTTAGTTTGATGCATTTGAGGTGAGACCTTGGGTACCGATCTTTTGAAGGAATCTTTAGAGAAAGTGAAATCCATATAGGAGAAGCTTCTAGCAGCTCAGAGCAGTTAGAAGGAGTATGCAGATCGAAAGGTCAAGGACTTAGAGTTTATGAAGGGTGAGCAAGTCTTGTTGAAGTTTTCACCCGTGAAGGGTGTGATGCAGTTTGGTAAGCAAGGTAAGCTTAGTCTGAGGTATATTGGACCATTTGAAGTTCTTAAGCGTGCGGGGGAGGTGGCCTATGAATTGGCCTTGCCTCTAGGGTTGTTAGGAGTGCACCCGGTATTTCATGTATCCGTGCTGAAAAAATACCATGGTGATGGAAACTACATTATTAGTTGGGATTCGGTCCTGCTTGATAAAAATATGTCTTATGAGGAGGAGCCTGTAGCCATTCTAGATAGGGAGGTCCGGAAGTTGAGGTCAAAGGAGATTTCATCTATCAATGTTCAGTGGAAGAATCAGTCAGTTGAAGAGTCCACTTGGGAGAGTGAGGCTGATATGCATGGAAGATATCCACACCTTTTTATCGATTCAGGTACCCTTTCTTACCCTCACCTTCTTTTGATCGTTCGAGGACGAACGATGGGTAAATTCGTATCTAATGTAATGACTCATTTGGTCGTTTTGAGTACTAGAGCTTTTTATTTCATAAAATACTTTCCGATAGATTCTAAATGAGTATTTTGGACTATTCGTAACTACAATAATAGAATTAATGGGGTAGTTTTAATAATTTATTTAGTTGGTGGTTAAAGAAAATAACATTAAAATTAATAGTGGGTCACTTTCACACTTTTATAATTAGTCTTTAAATAGTTAGGGTAGTAAATAATATGTAGAAGAAAATAGGAGAAGAGGAGAATAACAGAATAGAGCGTGAACGAAAGAAGAACCAAGTGACTTATGCTTCAGGTAACTCATCCGCCAAAAAAATTGTATTGGGTATATTGGTATGAATCATAGTATTATCATTATTATTATGATGTTGGGGTGAAAGAATGAACTTGTGGGTGCTATGCGTATGTGTTTACTGTCGTTGCAATTCTTTACCTTGCAATGCAGTCGGATTTGTATACTAATGTAGGTAGTGTTAAATTATAATGTTTGTTTGAGGGATAACTTTATCAATTTAATAATTTGGATTGGATAGAAGTTTGGAATGGAAATTGGGTAACAGTAACAACTGAAAAATTAAGGGTAGCATTTTGGGGGAGAAAATTTGTAGTGGATAATAATTGCCATGATGATGGCAATGACGAGGATAATATGTTGGTTTGAAGTGTGGACTGCCACTGGTTTCGGTACCAGTGGCTTTAGCTTTGGATAATAAAATTTTTATTATTATTTTATAAATCAAGTTTTAATATATTGAGATAGGTAATTAAACATTGAGTGTAATATATTATTTGAATACCATTAAGGTTATGTTATTCAGAGAAACAAAGACTTAACCTTAGACTTGCAATTTGAGAAATACGGGAGTTGACATAGAAGTTGAAATCAAAATTTAGGAAAGTTTTTATAGTTATATAGCTGTCTATAGTCTTGTTTACTTATGAGTTATGCATACTTAATGGATTGGAAACACTCTGAGGCATTGAGGAAAGGAAGAGCATTGGGGAACTAGCTTGGATGTCTTCGGTTCTTCGGTGGAGGTAAATTATGATTTATTCTATTTGATAGATAGACTATTAAATATTAATAGTGATTGATATGCATTGAGTGATATTGTGAATTTTTCTATGTACTTGGTTGTTGTGGTTTGGATAATTCGTATGTTGTTGTGATTGGTAAAAACCGTGAATCCATAATCTTGAACCTTCTCTATCAAAGTGATGCCTTGAATAAAGTAGGTTTGATGAAATACTGTTAATGAAGTGAAAATGGTGATAATGAATGATAATTTAATGATATTTTGAATCGGGTGCCATAAGCCAACACAAAATTTTGGATCAGGTGTCACGTTCGACTTGAATCAGGTGTCATGTTCCGATACAGAAATATTAAAGGAAAACATATTAAACAACTTAATGTACTCAATCTCAAGAATTTATTCCCGAAAAAGCTTGGTGTGGAGGCATGAGTCCTCATGTGTGTTCTTGATATTGTTTATTGATTACATACTTACTTTGGTGTTGTTTGCCACATGCTAAGTGTCATAGTTGATTTTATACTATTACTTATTGCATATTAGTTTCTATTTTGAGTTGGCCGATAATACCTACTCAGTACATGTTGCCCTGTACTGACCCTTACTTGTGTTTTCTTCGTTTTCTTTTGTGGATTGCAGCAAGTGTACCATCAACTTCGACTTTCCCTCAGCTCTAGCCAATCTCCAGCTCATCAAATTTCAGGGTGAGCTACTTCTTCTAGCTTGTGCTGGATTCTCTCGGTCATGGCATGATGTCTTTAAATTTTGGACATAGACTATCCTACTTATTTATTTTGGTGTCGTTAATACTCTTAGACTTGGTATATTTAGAATAGATGTCCTTATGTGATGATTTTCAGGTTTTGGGGATAATATGTAATAGACTCAAGAGATTTCTTTTATTGGAGCTTTAATAAATTTTGAGCTTCCGCATTTTGGTTGTTTCCGTAAGTTGAATAATTGATATAAGTTGGGGTTGAATTCATTGGTTCGCTTACTTAGGAGGTTAAGGGTGGGTGACACTTATGAATAGTTTTGGGTCGTGACATCTAATATAATAGATAGTATATTGCGTGTATCCTTTCCTTTTATATGTTCTAAAGTAATGTTATATATTGAAGTCGCGTCCAAAAAATTTAGCCATCGTCTTTTACTACTACTTGGTTTTTGTAAAAATATATACACAACACAAAGCTATGATCAAAGTACACCAAAAAAAAAATACGAAAAGACATATCAAAATAACCAAGAATACAAACCTAGGAAAAGGTATTATCTAAGAAAATCTACGGCAAGAAAGCCTTACCTAAATAAAGATAGACATGTAAGAAAACAAAATACTAACATAATTTTCTTTCTTGGGAACCTTGATTCCTGTTTGAAAAAATGTCCACGCTTTATCCTTTTTTGCTATCTTTGGTCTATCTTTTTGGGGGGGTTATTTCCGTCTTCTTTAGTTGTTCAATTAGAGCATGTATATTGTTATCTTGTTTTGTTTGTTCTTTAGGTATTTTAGTTTCTAATAAAATATCTAATTTTTTAATTTATTCCTATTACGTTATCGTCTAGTTTTTTATTTAATTCTAACAATACAAAGATTATTAGATTGTCTAGGTAGAAAAAATAGTAGAATGAGAAACGATCAGCTTATAGAAGACTTCCAAGAAACACTGATAAATGTAGATGAATATATGTCAGATAATGAAAGTATATATTAAGTAATAAGCATAGATGCAGTAGAAGGAGGAAGACAAGACTCATCAGATTCAGAAGAAACCTTAATAAAAGAAATAGGACTAGAAAAATCTCCGGCAGCGGTGCCATAAACATCCCAAACATAGAAAGACTTTATTTTGGACAACAAAACCTGATATTTTATCCACCATCTAACCTGAGTTTCCGAGTAAAACCAGAAACCAAGATAGACAGACCCCAAAAATGTTTGATAGACAGCCTATGGATAACTTACAATACAATACAACGACACAATATCTATTTCATTTCTGTATTAAATTCTTTAATCCACTACTTACCGAGAAAAATGAAAACAAAAAGTTCAAATTCTATGTGGTAGTTCAAGGAAGACTAGCAGGTATTTTTCAGACATGGACTGAGGTAATAGACTCGATAAAAGATTTTCCCACTCCCCTCCTCAAATGGTTCAATATTTAAACGAAGCATTAGACTATGACAGAGGAACTTTGGGGCCAAATTATTTCATATGCCTGGTATTAAGATAAACCACAAGCCCGTTTATACAGTGCAACATCAAGAAAGACACAGACAAAGTCATTTTTTGTGATCATTGTTCCTCGATGACAGAAGGTTTTAGAAGACAAAATCAAAATATTGACAGACTTGAAAAAGAAAAAGAAAAATTGACTCAGTTTATATAAGTTACAGAGCATATATATAAGACGTTAAGAACTGTTTGGTATTAGAGCATAAGTTACAATCTTGTATAACACCAACAACATACTTATCCAACTGTTTAAATATATGCCGACACCATGTCTTTAGACAAGATCCGGCCACATAACCAGAAATGGTTAGAAGCATAGGAATAAGAATGCCAATAGAAGCTCCTATCAAACTCCAAGATGGAGGAGATAGAGCAAAAATACTAAATATAACAGCTCATGATCCTCAATTATGGAACTGAGTAATAGATGTATGGAAAGGAATAATAGTAGCAGATTATATACACCATTATAGTAAAACAGATGTAGAAACCATGTATATATACATGGAGACTTTCTTAGGAGAATCAATTAAAGGAGTATGGGAAGCATACAAAGTAGCATATCCTCAAGAATTTCAAGAATTAGTAAACATGGGACCAAACCCGTATAATTTTACTAATAAAATACACAGCTTAATAGTGGATTAGTTGTATTACAAAAGAATGCACTAATAAAATTAGAACAACTTAGTATAACAAATTGGAGCCATATAAAGAATTTTGTAAAAGACTATTTCTACTATTGTGCAATAAGTGGTAATGCATTTGACCAAAGCTTGGGAAAAAAGCTTTTTAACAAACTCTCTGGTGCCTTAGGAAGAGAAATAGAAGAAAGATGGAACAAAAGAGAAGGAGTAATGCAAAACCCGAACGCTAACTGGTCTATAGGACATAAAATATAGCATGTTATGGAAATATTACAAAAAAAATGTACAAATATACAAATACAAAAACAATTAAAACAAAACGAGATAGGTTTTTGTAAAAATATATACACAACACAAAGCTATGATTAAAGTACACCAAAAAGAAAATACAAAGAGACATCAAAATAACCAAGAATACAAACCTAGGCAAAAGTATTATCTAAGAAAATCTATGGCAAGAAAGCCTTACCTAAATAAAGATAGACACGTAAAAAAACATAATAATAATAGAATTTACAAAAATAGACTATCTTGTTTTACATGCGGAAGTGAAGAGCATCTTGCTAATACTTGTCTAGGTAGAAATAACAGTAGAACGAGAAATGCTCAGCTTATGGAAGACTTCCAAGAAACACTGATTAATGTAGACGAATATATGTTAGATAACGAAAGTATATATTAAGTAATAAGCATAGATGCAGTAGAAGGAGGAAGACAAGACTCATCAGATTCAGAAGAAGAAACCCTAATAAACGAAATAGGACTAGAAAAATCCCCGGCAGCGGCGCCATAAACACCCCAAACATATAAAGACTTTATTTTGGAAACAAAACCTGATATTTTATCCACTATCTAACCTGAGTTTCCGAGTAAAATCAGAAACCAAGATAGACAGACCCCAAAGATATTTGATGGACAACCTATGGATAACTTACAATAAAATACCACGACACAATACCTATTTCATTTCTGTATTAAATTCTTTAAGCCACTCCTTTACCGAGAAAAAGGAAAACAAAAAGTTCAAATTCTATGTGGTGGTTCAAGGAAGACTAGCAGGTATTTTTCAGACATGGAGTGAGGTAATAGACTCAATTAAAGATTTTCCCACTACCCTCCTCAAATGGTTTGATAATTTAAACGAAGCATTAGACTATGCAAGAGAAACTTTGGGGCCAAATTATTTCATAAGCCTGGTGTTAAGATAAACCACAATCCCGTTTATACAATGCAACATCAAGAAAGACACAGTCAAAATCATTTTTTGTGATCATTGTTCCTCGATGACAGAAGGTTTTAGAAGACAAAATCAACATATTTACAGACTTGAAAACGTAAAAGAAAAATTGACTCTGTTTATATAAGTTACAGAGCATATATATAAGACTTTAAGAACTGTTTGGTATTAGAGCATAAGTTACAATCCTGTATAACACCAACAACATACTTAGCCAACTGTTTAAATATATGCCGATACCGTGTCTTTAGACAAGACCCGACCACATAACTAGAAATGGTTAGACCCATAGGAATAAGAATGCCAATAGAAGCTCCTACCAAACTCCAAGATGGAGGAGATAGAGGAAAAATACTAAATATAACAGCTCATGACCCTCAATTATGGAACTGAGTAATAGATGTATGGAAAGGAATAGTAGTAGCAGATTATATACACCATTATAGTGAAATAGATGTAGAAACCATGTATAGATACATGAAGACTTTCTTAGGAAAATCAATTAACGGAGTATGAAAAGCATACAGAGTAGCATATCCTCAAGAATTTCAAGAATTAGTAAACATGGGACCAAACCCGTATAATTTTACTAATAAAATACACAACTTAATAGCGGATTAGTAGTATTGCAAAAGAATGCACTAATAAAATTAGAACAACTTAGTATAACTAATTGGAGCCATATAAAGAATTTTTTAAAAGACTATTTCTACTATTGTGCAATAAGTGGTAATGCATTTGACCAAAGCTTGGGAAAAAAGCTTTTTTGACAAACTCTCTGGTGCCTTAGGTAGAGAAATAGAAGAAATATGGAATAAAATAGAAGGGGTAATGCAAAACCCGAACGCTAACTGGTCTATAGGACATAAAATATAGCATGTTATGGAAATATTACAAGAAAAATGTACAAATATACAATACAAAAACAATTAAAACAAAACGAGACAGGTTTTTGTAAAAATATATACACAACACAAAGCTATGATCAAAGTACACCAAAAAGAAAATACAAAGAGACATATCAAAATAACCAAGAATACAAACCTAGGAAAAAGTATTATTTAAGAAAACCTACGGCAAGAAAGCCTTACCTAAATAAAGATAGACACGTAAGAAAACATAATAATAACAGAATTTACAAAAATAGACTATCATGTTTTACATGCGGAAGTGAAGAGCATCTAGCTAATACTTGTCTAGGTAGAAATAACAGTAGAACGAAAAATGCTCAGCTTATAGATGACTTCCAAGAAACACTGATAAATGTAGATGAATATATGTTAGATAACGAAAGTATATATTCAGTAATTAGCATATATGCAGTAGAAGGAGGAAGACAAGACTCATCAGATTCAGAAGAAGAAACCTTAATAACCGAAATAGGACTAGAAAAATCCACGGCAGCGGCGCCATAAACACCCCAAACATAGAAAGACTTTATTTTGGAAAACAAAACCTGATATTTTATCCACCATCTAACCTGAGTCTCCCAGTAACACCAGAAACCAAGATAGACAAACCCCAAAGATGTTTGATAGACAACCTATGGAT